TACAAAATCGGGGCACTCGGGACGTTCTGTCCTGTTACCGATGGTACGTATGATGTTGATCCTATTATAAACAATAGATCAATTTTACCATCGGTACATCGCGAGTCCACAGTAATGCTAGATGCATCTTATCGGATTTGATAAAGTCGTGTGTGTGTGTTACGATGAAAAAAAAATAATTATAAGCAAAATTTCGATATTTCGATCTTTACGAATTCTTGAAATATTTTGATCTTTACGAATTCTTGAAATATTTTGATCCATGGCTACTCCTAGTAAAGCAGATAAACGTAAGTGAAAATAATATCAAATCCATACCTTCTCAATAATTTATTATTTCATAAAATCCCAGTTCATATTAAAATTATTTTGACAATGTATGCTAGCTCTTCCTTTCTTGTTTCACTTTGTTGCTGGCGGTATCGCCGGTGTTAGTGAAATCCTTGTGATGTGAGTATTTTTGAGTATTTTTTATAAATTCTAGAAGATAAAATCTATATCTAATAATTTTTTATGATAGGTATCCGCTAGATGGTAACATAATTACAATAATGCAATGATTATTAATTAATTGGTTAATTAATTAATTAATTAATTAATCTATTTTTTTTTGAAGTTGTGAAAACGAGATTTCAACTGCAAGTTAATACGAATGTCGGTGGTGAAAAATACACTTCTGTGCTAGATTGCCTTCGGAAAATTGTCAAGAATGAAGGGTATGCCAACTATTGAGAATATTATATGCTTTGGTGTAAGATGTCATGATTTTTCAAGCCAGAAATCTAAATGACATTGGAGATGGAATGATTTAATCTTACTATGGTGTGTTAGAAGCAAAAAGTTGATAATTATTTTCAATTTGAATTTATTTAGTTTTAGCCGTCTTTATAGAGGTATCCTTCCACCGATCTTAGTCGAAGCACCAAAAAGAGCAATTAAATTTTCAGCGAATGAACAATATTCTACTTTATTAAAAAAAATTTATGGTGTTGATAAGATGTCACAGCAGTTGTCGATCGCGTCAGGTATTTGTGCAGGTTCTACAGAAGCTCTTGCTATAGTTCCTTTCGAACTTGTCAAGATTCGTCTTCAAGATAAAGAAAGTGTAAGTATTTTTATTTGTCGAATATATATACACTAAACTTGAGACAATAATAATAAAATTAAACCTATCATTATTCTATGCTTTAGGCAGGAAAATATAGTGGCACATTCGATGCACTAACAAAAATTATCAAACGTGAAGGTATTGAAAGGATTTAGTGATATATATGTTGTAAGTGGAAACGGAATTTAAGTGGATTCAGAATTTACATATAAAACCCTCGTTTTGGGGTTGATTTTATCATATGTACATTCTAACCCTAACCCTAATTTAACTAGGAAATTCCGAATCCACTTACAACATATATATATTTAATATATTATTTTATTATTGAATGTTATTGAATGTTATTGAATGTTAGTTTTATAAATAAACACCATATAGGCCCCTTCGCGTTGTTTAATGGGTTAGAATCTACAATATGGCGTCATGCTACGTGGAATGGTGGATATTTTGGAGTTATTTTCAATGTGAGAGGAATGCTTCCCGAACCGAAAGTTAGTATAGAAGTTTTTATATCTTTTTTTTAAAAAAAATTTTTCCATAGTATATTTATAAAAAAATTTATTATTTGGATAATATTTAGTCAAAACAACAAAAGTTAATGAACAACTTTATTGCGGGAGCTATTGGCGGTACTGTAGGTACGATGATAAATACACCATTTGATGTAGTTAAAACGCGAATTCAGAATGATTCTGGAGCCGTGAGGAAATATAATTGGACACTGCCCGCTATTAAGACAGTAGCTGTGGAAGAAGGGTAATTATATTGTTTTACATAATATATAAATTTTATAAAATACAGCTTTTTTCTTACACTAGTCCTTTAATAAACTTTAGAGTTGGTGCCCTCTATAAAGGTTTTGTTCCTAAAGTTCTTAGACTTGGGCCTGGTGGTGGTATTCTCTTGGTTGTGTTTGATCAAGTTAGCACTTGGATGAGAAAGTATTTAATACATAGTCAACCCTCTCTAAGTGCATAGCCTTGGGCTGATGAAAAATCTTGCATTTAGGGAGGTAAAAATCTATAAGTATCATATGTATTAAGGCCAAGGCAGAGCCATGCATTTAGAGAGTCTATGCATTTAGGGAGGTCCGACTGTAGATAGATATCTTTACTGTTACTAATTATTTTTTAAAATAATTTGTTATTTATAATAAAGTTTTTCTTTTAATGAAAGTTTCTAACTACATTAATAATAGTTAACAAAATGGTGCAATTTTGGTTAGTATATTACTTAATAGTTAACAAAATGGTGTAATTTTGGTTAGTATGTAACAAAATGGTGTAATTTTTATTAGTATGTTATTAATAGTTAACAATATAATGTAACTTTTGTTAGTATGTATTAATAGTTAACAAAATACAGTCAAACCTGTCTAAATGAATACTGTATAAATGAATATCCTGCATAAATGAATACAAAATTTCGGAACCAAGTTGGTTACTAAGGCTAATTGTATAAACTGCTTAACTGAATAATGCATAAAAAATTTTCAATTTTATTAATAAAAATTTTATAAAAATTATGCTATCTGAATATTTTAAATTTTATTTGCATAATTGTTATACAAAATTTTATAATTTGATTGGTTAAATTATAAAATATAACAATTTTATTAATATTTTTATATAATTTAATTTTTTGTAAATGAATATCCATCTAAATAAATACAAAATTGGTCCACCGACCATATTCATTTAGACAGGTTTGACTGTAGTGTAATTTTTTGTTAGTATGTTATTAATAGTTAACAAAATGATAATATTGTAAGTAGATGGTTCTTAAAACTACTGAAATAAATACAGTATATATAATAAAATCCAAAATTAAAACAAAGCTTTGTTACTAACTTGCTATTTTGGTCAAAGCTTTGTTATAATCTTTCTATTTTTTTTTGATCATCAATCATATGCAAGCATCATAAAACAAAGATCACTACACTAAAGCACTTACCATGTATTATTTTTTAAATGAATGTGGCAGCTGATGCTAAAATTTGGACCTATTTTAATCTATATAAAAGTTTAAAGATTCTTTTTTTTTAAGGTCGAGTAATACGTATAAGTGATTTAAGTTTTATACAGTATATTTAGAATCAACCATCATATATAATAATACTGTATATGTACTTAATGTGTTAAATCGAGCTATCAGTAATTGATTTTTTGTAAAATTTTCGTTTGCTTATACGTAGTGACCAATGAAATTTTGCCTGGTAGAGAATTTTATAATAGATTTTGTGCACTGGTCAACCAGTGTTAAAAATTCGTTGTGCACGTATTGTTATTTGCACAAAATTAACAATACGCTGTGCAAATGCACAAAAAATAAAATAACATTCATGTATAAAAAAATTCTCTTGCACAAAATGTTTGTGCCGAATTTTCAACACTGTGGTCAACAACGTACGTACTATACTACGTACAAATATCTAACCAATCATTCGTTTTACATTTATAATAGATAACAATTACCCTTCTATATTGGGCAAATTCCAGAAAAATTGACATATCGATCGATATCGATAAAAAAGTTTAAATATTATTGATAGAACTTTCCTTTACATTTATCATTATCGTATCAGTTATGTAATAATTAATGCTGGCAGCTCACATGCGTATGTACGTGCGTACAAAAGTGATGCGTGACCAATGTATTCATAGAATTTAAGAATTTTTATTTATAATCAATAATGATAGTACAACTATATCCGGAAATAAATTGCAATAAATCTAATAAATCTTGTTTATATTGTGTAGCTTAGATGCCAAGCCCTAACGCTAACACTAATACGTATGCATGGCTGTGTCCCTATAGGAAATAACGCAAGAATTAACTAATAAATTTCACAGATGCAAACTTTTTTCATTGTGCCTGCGTATTTTAGTTTTGGCTAAAATTTTTTTAAAAATTCATTTTTCATTCATTTATCTAATTAATTTATCTCAGTTTTTAAAGATAAAATTCATTAGCAATCATGCATATTACCAGTAAATCTAAAATATTTTTTTTAGTAATCCTATTCATATTCATTCTACACATTAACACCGTTTATTCTCATCGAGATCATCATCACAATCATCGAAATAAACACAAGAAACATAAAGACTATCACGGTGATATTAGTAAACATGATCATGAAAGTCTTCGTCCAAAGCATTACTACTTTCATCACTATCATTATGAGCCTGATAGAACAGATTCACGAATAGCTTGTGGTGATATTTGTGTTATAGGTTTTCTATCACTGGTAGCATTTTATATTGGCGTTTCTTTATATATTCTACGCCATTATTTATTGGAACGTAGGTTAAGAAATGAAGGTTGGACCAGTTTACCGAACGTTGAAAGTGGGAAATATGATAAAGGTGAAAAATTTAAAGATTTTAAGGATGTTAAAGATTTTAAAGATGTTAAAGATTCTAAAGATGTTAAAGATGCTAAAGATGTTAAAAAGGTTAAAGATGCTAAAGAGGTTAAAGTTGCGGAAAAACAATAAGCATATTAAAGAATGTGGGTTAACAAATTACGGTATTGTACAGTACATAGCAATTTTTCTTTAAACATTTTATTTATCAAAATTGTATATAATTATCTATATCATCCATGAAATATTTACGATTACATTTTATAACTAGTCTCTTTGTTTTGATCAAAATTGTTATAACTTATCTATATATCGATATGGGCAATTATTTTGAATCCAGGCCAAAATGTTATTACGTCATATATAAAATTGGTCCAGGTTTAAAAATAATTACCCATCGATATGTAATATGTAACTATGAATAACATTTTAAGTGATGTTAACTTTTGAATTTATAAACTTATGTTTCGCGTTTAACAGTCAACCGATATGCCACATAGGTTTATATATACTTACTGTCAAAATACATCGATGTATCTTAATTTTGAATTTATAAAAAATATGTATTATCTTTAACTTGGATACAAGTTAATAAAAAAGATGATTTTTAAACATTAAATTCTTATTTTCTAGTGATTAAAGGTTTTTATATAAATTTTTAGTATGTACTATAGTTATAATTATTTTAATTTTGAAGTTAAATAGTTTGTTTTTTAAGTAAAAATAAAACATTATAATATATAAGTATTATAATGTATATTTAAATATATAATCTATGTAAAACCTCAAATGCACAATACGGTTTGGCCCCAACTTATAAGAACCCTATGTATATTATTCTCTATAAGTGCAAACCTCCTCTAAGTGCAAAATTTTAATTTTTTCACTATCGTTCCGACGGGATGCACTTAGGAGGTGCGACTGTAGTATAATTTAGTAAAATTTAAAAATTATGCTATTTTAGTACAGCTTTTAGATTAATTAAACATAGCCTTCTAGTTTTTAATTATATAAAACTAATATAAAACTAATATAACAAAAATCATATTTAAATATTTTGTGTTTTGAGTTGGTAAAAATTTGCAATTAATTAGTTACCAACTATAGTTGTAGCTAGAATTACTAATAAACCTAAATTATAGTTTTTTTTATAATCACCTTTTATGTAATCACATTATATAAAAATCTTTGAATAATCACATCTTTATTTAAGTCTAGTTGTTATAAATATACAGTATATATAAAAAGCCAATATATAGGATTTTTGCTAGAAAAATTAATATTTCTAATTGGATTAATTCAAAATATTTTAAACTAACATACTAGTTCTTATTTATATATAAATTATATTTTGTATTTATTAATTCAATAGCTTATTGAATAAATATTTAAATCAATAAAAACAAAATGATTTATATGTAAATAGATTTTTTTTAGTTTATAGAGAGACCTTTTAGATCTTATAGATTATTAATTTATTAAGTATTAACAATCTTATTTTACAGAAAGGATATTATAATTTGTATATTAATAAGGTTACAATTAGTTACATATACATTTTAGTTATTGTTTATTTAAAGATTCTGTCTACAGATTACTTGTTAATTGCTATATCTAGAACTTGTCTGTAGATTTCCTATTTAAAGTCTTTGATTTTTAATGCTTTTTTTGTAATACTAAACTTAAATTAATAACTGACAAACCTTCAGGCCACTTTACTCATAAGGTAAATTTTACCAAAATAGAGATAAATTTACTTTTATACCTGTTTTGAATTTTTATTGTGCTAGAAGTGATTTCATATTAAGATTAATCCTTTTCACAAAAATCAATAATATTCTTCACATTTCTTACTATAGTAGTACCTATGCTTTGCTATACCAGTTTCTTTTCAAAAATTCCTTAAACCAGATATATATTTTTACTTAGACTTCTACAAAGCTTTATATATGATTACAGTTTTTTTTTTAGATTACAAAGTATTCTATTTCTGGCTAAACTTGAACTATTAACCTTGTCTGTGAGAAAACAAGAGCTTATCCACTAAGCTATAGAACCTAAACCTTTATATATAAATAGACATTATTATTTTTTTGAATATTGAGTTAATAAATATATTTTTTGTCTATAAACTATTGGTTATAACTTTTCTTTGTGAGTGTCATTATAGCAATAAATTGATAATATTTTATTTTTTCTATAAATTGTTTTTTCTATAAAATTATATAAATATGTATATTTAGGAATGTCAAAAAAATAAATACAAGAGTTTTAAAAATATAAGTTTATTATACTAATGCTTTTGGTTTGTATCATATAATCATGTGACTAGGGTCAGAAGTAGGGTTGGAGGCACGAAAATTTTTTTGGACATGTCCAAAAAGGCATGCTTTAGCCTGAGGCATGCCTTTCATATTGTGCCCAGGCATGCCTCTATATATAAATCATGTAATATACATAATATATATAAATTGGAGAGAAGTCTAAAGCAGATATAAATCATGTGACCAATTTAGAGTTTGATTGGCTTATATAAATAGATTGATCTTCTGATTGGTTTTATGTCACATGATTTATTATTGCTTTAGATGACCTCTAAATTAGTAGTATAGCAAACTTTTATCTAATTGCTATTAGAAAATAAATTCAAGCCAAAAAAATTATTATACAAAAGCTATAAATTTAAATTACTGACAATTTTTAATACATTGTTATTACCAAATACACATTTGGTTAAATTTTTTTAAAAAAATTTAAACAATTTTTTTAAAGGTGCTTTTAGGCATCTCCCACGGAAGATATATCTCCCGCAAGGAGATATATATCCCCTGCTTGTCGGCCAATCAAAAACAAGAATATCACGTGATCGACACTAACCTGGATCACATGAAACCAATCAATTATGTATAATTATGTGTAATAAAAACAAAAAAAAAAAAACACTAACCCGGTTAAGTTATTGATTTCGGCATGATCAATACTTACATTATATACATATAGATTACATTTTACTTTGAAATATATATGTTTTTGCACAGACTAAACACACTATAGCACTAAACATGTGGGCAAGTATTTAAGAAAAATTTAGTAATATTGAACAT